AGACATCTCATTTAAAAAAAAAATTTTTTTTGATTTTTTTTTTTTTTTTGAGAGAGAGAGAGGAAGGGAGAAGGGAGGGAGAGAGAGAAACATCGATGTGAAAGTGAAACATGATCAGGTGCCTCCTGAACGCCTCCTACTGGGGATGGAGCCTACGACCTGGGCATGTCCCCTGACCCTGAATCAGACCGGTCTCCTTTTGGTACATGGGACGATGCCCATTCAACTGAGCCACACTGGCCAGAGCCAAAGACACCTCATTTTAATCTGTCTTTTCTTGGGTTCCTAAAGTTAGCGCTGACCAGAAATAGCTCTCTCCTTTTTATGACTCATGCATCTTACTACCTTGGGGGAAACTGACATTTATTGAACACCTACTTTATGTCAGATATTTTCACTATATCTCCTCGTTTAATTTTCACAATATTCCTGAAAGGTAGTCATTAGCCCTTGAAGGAACTAAAACTTGGGTTAAGTGATTTACCTCTAGAACACAGAGGTTGAACTCCCAGGAACTATGTGAACTATGTGAAACTGAAAAATGGTTGACTATCTGCACTTTCCTGTGATTCAACCCAATAGAATGTGAGCGAGCTAGCGCTTTAGTTCTAAAGTCTCCACGCTTTGCAGTGTACCACACGCTGCCCTAAGCACAGGATTCTTTATTTTCCCTTTCAGTGCTGTAGTTTCAGATTTATCTCTCTCACCCCCTAAAACACTAGCACTAGGGAGCCAAGAGGAAGGGCAGCCCAAGGTCCGACTTACCTTGAGCTGGGCCTAGGAGTGTTTCTCGGGGGCTAAAGCTGGACTTACAGAATGAACCCGTATTGATTTATGTATCTGCTGCTATTTGCAGTTGCCACCTGTGTGCATTTCCATACACTGTCTGATTCTGGGTCCCTTCTGTTTATCACACTCTACTCTAATCATCTGTTTCATTGTCCCCAGAGACTGTCAGTTCCCTGAGGACTGATTGTGCCAGCCTTGCCCTTTCTAGTACCTATTAAAGAACTTGCACATCCAAAGTAGGTGCTTCAGAAATATTTGATCGAAAAATAAATTAACAAATGCGACCGTCTCCCAGGTCACCCTGCCTTCTGCCCAGTGAGCACCCTTTCTCTCTCTCCCCTCGCTCCGTCTCTCCTGTGTCTGTTCATACACCTGACCTCCTTACCTTCTTAGATGTCATTCACAGCCTCAGTGTTTACTCAGGTGTGACCGTGTTTGTCTGCTTGGGCTGGGAAGAGAGCGGTATTGTTTTCAGGCCCCTACTAAGGACTGACATGGGTTGGGCTTGAAGGAGTGACCCGAACAGAGGAACTTTGCCATTTGGATGTGGATCCTTGTATTATGTATTGTATAAACTGAAATTTTCCACTTGGTTTTTTCCATCTCTTTGGGGGACTGGACATTAAAGCAGGCTCTGGCAAGAAAGTGCCTGGCCTTGTAGAGTCTTCTGGTTACAGAGGCTGTGGACACTGCCCTGCTGTCCTTTCTCTGGCCATGAAGGACGCTTGTCACATGTTGGGGCAACCTGTGTGTCTAATTTGGGACTTAACTGCACTGGGAGAAGACAGTGAACCTGGGATCTGTATAAAGGCAGAAATTACACCTCTTTCTAAAGTCTTTCCTTTATCATAGGGTCTAAGGACTGTTAAAAAACAGAATTCAACCCAGTAAGTTTGACGATCTCATTGGCTTTATTAAGCAGCTCCTGAATCGGGCTGCATCCCATCTAACAACTAGGATGATCCCAGGGCTTGTACAAAATGGGAGGTTTTTACAGGAAGAAGGGTGGGGAGAGGGAGCTAATAACAAAAGAGGATTGTTTCTAGACCACTGACATTTTCTTTTGGGAGCTAGGGAATAGCAAGGGTTTTTATCATGCAGAGCAAACAGGTTTGGGCAGTGCTCATCACCAGGGGCAGTGATGGACGGATTAGGAGGGTGGGTGAGTGGCTCGGGGAAGTCCTCAGGCGTACAGTTCATTCATCATTGGCCAGGTAACTGACCCGGCTGAATCCACACCTGTGTCAAAGGCCAGGAAGAGAGCTGAGTTGAGATGACAAGCTGAGGACCAAGGCTAGTTCAGGCGGGAACCTGGTTCCAGGGTAGAGGGTCTGTGGCAGTTAATGACAATTGAATGCCTGTGTGCCTTTCAGAACATCGAGCTGAAGGTTGAAGTAGAGAGCCTGAAACGAGAACTCCAGGACAAGAAACAGCATTTGGATAAAACTTGGTGAGTTGTAGTTTGCCCTGGTTGAGTTCTGGTCCTTTCCAGAGTCTGGCTTGCAAATTTGAGAATAGTAGATTTGGAACCAAATTCCTTACCCTGGACTCTGGCGTCTGGATGCCGTGTCCAATTCAGGACCTGAAATGATGTGCTTTCTTTCCCTTGGGCTCTCTGTCTGAGTCTGACAGACCTTGCCGTAGACTGGTAAATTCACCAGGCCTAAGCTTATAAATGTCCTATTCAGTAGTCCACTGATAACACCAAGGCTGGCATAGAGTTGGGGGAAATGGGCGCTCTCATACACTGCTGGTGAGAGTGTGGATTGTGGCAACATTTTTGGTATGAGGCACTACCTAGCAAAGTAAAAAAACAAAAACAAAAAACATTTCCTTTGATCAAATAATCCTTAGAAGGAATCTATTCCTTATAAATAAAAGCATGAGTATGAAAGGATGATTACTGAGTCATTATTTGTAATGGCAAAAACCTAGAATCCACTGTGCATCAATAGAGCAGTGGTGGAAGGCGTTTTGATCTAACCATACTGTGGAATATTATGCAGTCATTAAAAAGAATAAGCTAGCTCTATCCTGCTGTGTTCCCGATAAGACTAAGTAAGGCGAAAAAGTGCTGAATGCTATTTATAGTATCATCCCCTTTGAGCAAAGACCAACAGTCCTCTCTGTGTGTACATGTGTTTGCTCGATGATGCATAGAAAAAAACTGGAGGATTACGTATCAAACTCTTTAATATTGCATATATCAAGGGAGTGAGATTGGAGTTTGTGATGGGAGGAAGACTTGATTTTTTTCTTTATACATGTTTGTGTTGTTGAAATAGTTACTTTTATAATTTATAGTTTTTATAATTAAAAAACTGAGTTTTAACTGGTATTATTAAAATTGTCATTAAAAAAAATTTTCAGATCTATCTTGCGATCAGTGTACACTCACTCTGATCTGGGATTCTTCCTGTCGCCATAGTGTCTCGATATTTGTGATGACAAGTCCAGCAAGATCAGAATACTCAAAACCAGACTCAATAATTCATGATATACTGGTATTATTAAACACTTGCTGAAGCATTAAGTGAGCTGATAGACTTTAGGAAAACTTGTAAAATAACAATCGAGTAATAGATTTTGAGATTTGTGTAACACTTTAAAAATCTTTTATGTCATCTCAGCTTTTAATTAGGTGGCTTTATTTTTAGAAATGGAAAAAAATAAGGTACAGAGTATTAAAGTCTTGTCAAATGAGTGGCAGAACCCGCATCTTCGGGCGTCGATTCAGGCTCTTCTGATTCTACAACAGCTGCAGCCTGTTAAATCAGGAATTCCTGGCCAACTGAGCTACTCAGAAAATGTGTAACTTCCATTCTCAAGATATTATAGTGAGCTTTTGTCTGTCGCATTTATCAAGGAGCATGGAGTCAAAGTAAAAGTCGATGGTTCCCGAGGTCTGCCTGTTTAGGGGTCTTTCTACTTAGGGTTATTCTTTTGACTATGTGTCCCTTGTACAACCCTTCTAACCCTGGAAGGCTCGAGTTAAACATAGCCTCTGGGATGGTACCGAGCAGTGTCCACCAGTGACCAAGGAATCCTGTCATCTTCAGGGAAGTTCCATTTGGTCTCCATGGACCCAACCTTCTGGGTCAAATATTAAAGTACCACTGGGCTTGGGTCGAGGAGCTTTGATTTATCACGAGCCTGTGAAGGTTCAGTGTTGCTCTCGGCCCTGAGAACCAGAAGATGGTCTGTGGTTCTCAACAAATGGCTTAAAGCAATAATAAAACCCAACCGGAATTAAGATCACTCAGCACCCGATACTGCCCCCAGATTTCTAATCCTCAGACATCCAAGGGCAGCTGTTGTTGGCTAAAAATAAGCCGGTGACACCTTACCCGCTTCATGCTAGGGCCTGGACATTCATTCCTGCGGACGTCAGAGGAGCAGCGCTGGGCCCGAACCCCGAGCCTCTGTAGATTAAATGCCTGCTCTCTGCATGGGACCATGGGAAAGCCGGGCTGAACCCTGGCCAGGTAGCCCAGATTCGGGGTAGATATTTAGGGGTTACTGGCTATAAAGGAGGAGAGCATTTCTGTGGCTGTCCAAATGGCTATTCTGTCCCAGCAACCCGCGTGGAAGGAACACTTTCAGTTGAAATAGCAAGAAAGGCAGGGAACCAGCCAAACACTCTGGAAGGAAGATGATAGTGGACCTGGATGGCTGAGCTCTGAACCGTTTGATGGCTGCCCACCTTCCGAATGAAAGATTCCCCCCTGAAGCTGTAGCAGTGGTGGAGCCTGTAGGAGCCAAGTGTAGTCTCATGGAGGAGCAACCAAAGCTTAGCGTTCTTAAGCGATGACCTGGAAAGGCTGGAGAGAGCCGTCCCACAAATAATGGCCGAGGGGGGAAATGCTTCATTTTTCTCATCAGTGTGAAACAGCCTCCATGGGTTCACGTGCTAAATTCTGTGACCGGCGCTGACCGGCTAACGCTCGTGGTTTCAGTGCCGACGCGGGGAGTCCCGGCGGCCACGATGAGGCCGAGCTCCGGCGCCAGGCCGCGGAGAGGCGGCAGGAGACGCAGCACGTCCACGAGCTCCTGGAGAGCAAGATCCAGCTTCTGCAGAAGGTGAGCGGCCGGAGGCCAGGGCCCCTGGCTGACCCCTCCCTGCTGCTCTGCCCCCTGCATTCACCTCTCCCTCCCTAACTGGCTTCCCAGGCTCATCGGGTGTCCCTGCGCCCTCGGGCTCCTGCCCCCGCTGGGACCCTGCAGCCTCTGGGTTCGTGTCCTTTTTGCAGGAATCCAGGCTAGCAAAGAATGAAGCTGCGCGGATGGCAGCCCTGGTGGAAGCCCAGAAGGAGCGTAACCTGGAGCTCTCGGAGAAACTGAAGGGCGTCACCAAGGACAGGGAGGGTGTACCAGGAGACCCGGGCAAGCCCGACCGATACACTGAGGCCCTGGCCCAGAGGGACAAGTAGGTCTTTTTGTCACTTGACTTTTGCCTGTTCTCGAGGCTAGGAGCCCTTATAGTGCTGCACTGTTCCCTTTTTAGGACTTACCTTGGCCATTTCTAAGACTCCGTGGCTCCCACAACCAAAGGTTTTCTTTTTAGGGTTGAGTCTTCAATGGTCTTCATTTAAGGAGCTCATTTGTTGGCAGTCAGGAGCCTTGAGGAGGTATAAAGAGAACGGGGGTCAAATGTTGGCGAGCAGGAGACCTGGATTTTCTTATTCTGTGAACATTTATTGAGCACCTGCTGCATTCCAGGCACTGGCCTAAGCACTAAGGTTACAGAGATGAAAGGCCCAGCTCTCTCATCAGGAAACATGTCGCATAGTCTTAATAAGTTCTCTGATGGAAGTAATATGGGATGCTTGGGACATGGAGGATTGTCATCTCTCCCAGAGTAAACGTTTCTCAGAGGAGCTGAAATCTGAGCTGAGTTTTGAAGGACGAATAGAAGTTAGAAGAAAGCGTAGGACGTGGGTGGGGAAGAGAAATGTTCTGTGCAGAAGGAGAAACTGCGGCCCTGGCCGGTTTGGCTCAGTGGTTAGAGTGTCGGCCTGCAGACTGAAGGATCTCGAGTTCGATTCCGGTCAAGGGCACGAAACTCGGTTTCAGGCTCGATCCCCAGCCCCGGTTGGGATGGGTGCGGGAGGCAGCCAATCGATGTGCCTCTCTCACTTCGATATTTCTCTCTCTCTGTCTGTCCCTCTCCCTTCCACTTTCTCTATAAATAAATAAATAATAAATAAATAATAAATAAATAAATAAGAGAAACTGTGGAGGGGAGACACAGGGAAGGGCATATTTCAAGACCTGCAAATAGTTCTACATAACTAGTGCAGAATTCAGCATTATCAAATTGACAAATAACTTAGCCTCTTAGGTGCATGATATGATGGTGGCAAAAAAGGCCTTGAGTGCTTTTTAACTGACCAGGTAAAAAGCACGCAATGTACTACATGGTACACGTACACCTCTGGAATGGTAGCACTTACTACATCCTATTACTGTTGTTTGTTTCTCTTGCTGTGTCTCCCCACTCCCCAAACTCTTGGCACACACACTAAAAGAATTTGAGTTTCTACAGAGCAGAGATTGTGTCTTTTCCAACCTTATGTTCCCAGTATTTGGTAGAGTGCATTGAGTATACATAATGGTTATTACCTAAAAATTGTTTCTTGACTGAAACAACCACCCAAAACCCCCCACAACTTCTGGGCCCTTATTTTAAGAGTTATATACCTATGGTCTGTAGATCCATGGATCAGCTTCAGGAGGCCCATAAACCTGGTGACAATGGAAGCAAAAAGTCACTTGTGTAAATCTCTAGGGCTGGAGCAGATCATACATGGCTTTCCGAAGAAAAGAGTCCAAGAGTTCAATGACCCCAAAAGCTAAGAACCTAGTGTGTTGAACCAGGCTCTCTTTGGAGTGGGCTGAAGGTCATAATAGTATCATGACCATAATTGTTGTTCTTAACTGTTTCTTTGATCCAGACAAATTAAAGAACTGAGTCAGAGCCTGGCTGCCCAGGAGAAGCTTGTAGAACAGCTCTCTCAAGAGAAGCAACAACTGCTACACCTGTTGGAGGAGCCGACTAGCATGGAAGTGCAGGTGAGGTCTGGGCCGTACTTCCTGAGCACTCCATGCTTTCAGGAGTCCTGCTTTCTTATATCTAAATGTATTAGCTATCTAATGCTGCATAAAAAAATGACTGCTTACTTAGTGGTTTGAAACCATATACACTTATTATCCCACAGCTTCTGTAGGCCAGAAGTCCAGGAATGGCTTAGTTAGTTTCTCTGCTCAGGTTCTCACATGTCTGAACCCAAGGTTTCATCTGGGCTACTTTCTCTTCTGGAGGCTTCAAAAATGATCCACGACTAAGCTTCCTCTGGTTGTTGGAAGAATTTTTTTTTAATCTTCACCTGAGGATATGTTTTTATTGATTTTTAGACAGAGGAAGAGAGAGAGAGAGAGACATCAGTGTGAGAGAGAAGCATTGATTGGTTGCCTCCCATATGTGCCCCAACCGGGAATTGAACCAGCAACCTTTTGGTGTGTGGTATGACACTCCAACCAAATGAACCACCCGGCCAGGGCAAGTCTCTTGAATTTTAACCTGGGAAAGAAAGTGGTATGAAAGAATGAGCTCGGGTTTTGGATTTTGAGTCTGAGTGGCAACATGTTTTTTTATGTATGGCTTTGGGCACTTAACATAAGCCCTCTGAGTAGTTTCCTTCTCTATAAAATAGGCTTTAAAATCCCTAGTGTTCAGCTATTTGTATGGATTAGAAATAACATATATGAGGCTTTTGGCATATCACTTAGAACATGGTAACTACTATCACCACCATCCTTATTGACAACCTGAAAGAGAGTGAGGCTGTTTTAAAATGAGTGGCAGCTATAAAGACATAGTGAGTCAGATATTGCAAACCTCGCTCACATTGTAACTCTCTTTGTTTTATAACAAAGACAGAATTAATAAATATAGCCGCTGTTTATTAGTGAGATTAATGGTCATAATTCTCCCTCTGGACCTGTTCGCCTTGCACATAGAAAAACTATTTCATAGGCAAAAACCAAACTCAGAGTTCTCAATTCGAGTTATTGCGCCTCAGGAGGACCATGGTGGAGTATGAATGGTTCAGGGCAAATTGGCCACAATGATAATTACACCCCACTTAATCTAGACAAAAAGAAATATTGAAGCACTTTCTGTAACATCTTGGGAACATTTGGTTACACTCAGATGGTTCAGGTTATTGTAATATAAAACTCAGAAGTGAACTTATATGCTTTCTTAACTACATATCCCAAGTTAATTTAAAATATTTATCAATGAATAATCAACAACTTTTCTATAGCAGTGAAATCAGCCCATATTGTAGCATTTTCTATGTGCCAGGAGTGGCTTTAAATACCTTATATATTAACTCAGATTCATTTAAGTCTCAAAACAACCCTATGAAGTATATATTGACGTATGAGACATAAAAAGAGAGTAATTTATAAAATAATGTTTATTTTAATATGTAAATTCTTGAGCACAACGATATTTAAAAACACAAAGAAATATGTGCTTATACCTGTAATGAAAATCACTGTGAATATCGCAGCTTCAGATGCAGTCTGATGTTATAATATGCAGGCATGTTACATTGGCACTTCAGAAATGGCAAGTGGCAGTGCTGTTAGTAATGAGCTAGTGGTGAGGCCAAGGTGAAAAACTTGGTAAATTTCCAAATAAAACAAAAACAATCCTCTCCTAATTTACATAGCAGTTCAATTAATGGAAAATTTAGTGTGTATTAATGTGGTCATATGTACAGTAGAAGTCAGTCCTAGGTTCAGATGATTATATAAATGGCTTTATTACCTCCATCAGTGCCCCATGGGACATTTGAAAGTCATTCAAATGTCATGCTTTGTCCGTTGCAAGTTATGTAGCACCCTTTGCCCCACTTATCATTGTGACTATAATAAAAACAAGAAAGACCCCCAGGAATTTGCAAAATACACTTATAGGAGATTGTACAGTTGCTCAGTAGAACCATGGTCTAGGGGGGTCCTAGCCTTCACAGGGTTTACAGTCCAGTAAAAGACTGGCATGTAAAGAACTAAAATACAGGATGACAAATAAACTCATAGATAGAGGGAGTAAGTCTACCTATGGAAGCCAGAGAAGGCCTCACCTGGAAGCCCCCTTGACCTGGGACTTAAAGACTGAGCACACCAGGCAGAAAACTGGAGACTTGCATTCTAGGCAAGGGGAACAGTATATATATAGTGGTGTGGAACATAGTTAAGGAACTGGGAGGAATTGGTATTACCAAATATATGATAAATGTTGGAGAGTGAAATAGCTGGAAAGTTCCATAAATGTCAAGCTAAGGACTTCATGTTGTAGGCAACAGAGAATTTTTAAACAATTAAGCAAGGGGAATGAAACCACACGATTGCATTTTAGAAAGATAATCCTGCTGTTGGTTTAGACTGAGGATTGGCTGAGCAGATATTTGATATCACTCCTGGAGGTAGTAAAACTGTGGTGTGACACAGCTGTGAACTGCCTCATCTAATCCATCCTGTGAATTGGATAGGGGCAGAAAGAATATTAGAAAATCAGTTATAAAGCACTTTGTCTCCCCCCTCTGTATACAGGGATGTGTGCAACTTGCTATCTGTGCCATGGGAAAGCTTTGCTCTGGGTGTTGACCTTATCTGCCCATAGTAGCTGCAGTTTAGTTCCCACAAATAAGACACTCGGCTTTGATACAGATTATCTGATGTAATTGATTTCACTATCCCTCCGTTTTCCTTTTCCGTTCTACCAAAACATGGCACAGCGTCCGTGTTAGCTGGGGCGTACTTGCACAGTGCCTCGGAGCTTCTATTATGTAATTAATTTCATAGAACAGCACAAGGATGCCATAAGCTTGGTATGCCACCAGCCGACGGCAGCGCTCCGTGTTTGCTTCGCTGCTACGCATCCATTCAGCGATGGGAGCGCCCAGCAGCCGTTAGATGTGGCTTTTTCACTGGGGAGTCAGAAAACCAAATAAGGCCAAGTTTACAAAGCGTTTCTCTCTCCTCTAATGAAGGCTCCCTGAGCGCTGCAGGGGAAAGCGGCCTGCGCTTCCAGTGGCTGGTTTGATTCCTTCCTACAGAATGGTGGCAGCTTCATCCCAAAGAACCTTTTAGGTGAAACGGACCCTGGAGGGGGTGCAGGCAGGGGAAACGATGTGCCTGCAAAGGAAAGTCTAGAGAAGCTCTCGTCTTGTTTTTTTCCTGTTCTTTTATCCATCCCCCGTCCCCCCAGGATAAGGTAATATTCATGAACACGTAATTTCACTGTGGCTGGCCTCAAAAACGAAACAGGACAACAGAATCAGGGAGAGGCGTTCGTTGAACAGTCAGGCACCCCACAAAGCGGCAGCCCCTCAGCCACTGCGTCCATGGCTCCTTCGGAATGCCAGCAGACGCACCCCATTCAGCCAGGCACGGCTCCCGAAATAGCGGCCTTCAGGCGTCACCACGGACAGGTCCGAAGTGGGGAGGGTAAGGCAACAATTCGCTCCAAAAGCTCAAGGCGCAGACTGGAAACCTTGCAGGGATTAGTAGCTCAGGCGGCCCCAGCCAGCTTCATATAGGATTTTTCTAGAGCAGCTTTTCTGCAACCCCTTCCTTAAGCTGATGAATGTTGAAGCTGGAGACTCACTGGCAAATCTTCAGCCAACGTCCCAGTCTCCCAGACCTAACTCCCATTGATAACACGTATCAGAAAGAGGGTAAGATAGGTAGAGTAGGATGAACTGGCCATTCAAATGTCCCACAAGATCTTAATCTTCCTTCACCTATAGGCTATTTAACTCAACTGTATTTAACTCAACTTCCAAGACGTCTGATGATACCGTCTTGTCTGCAGTCCCTTCCTTTGTTTCCCACATTCTAAGACCCATTTCCAATGCCACACTCTTGTCCCCTGCAACTACAATAACCCTTGCTGATCTCAACTTTTTCTGCAGTCACGTTGAATTTAAGTTAGTACCATTTAGTTTACCAATCAGTTGTTCTCATGGTAGCGTCCACATTTTCTCCCCTTCAGCTAAGCTGAAAGCTGCCTAAAGGCAGAGAAAAGACATTACTGAGTTTGCATAAATTCTCGCTCATGGGTTGATTGACTTAACAATACTTTAAAATTCGCTTTAATAGCTATGGGTATTTAATAACTTAACTTGGAAGACTCTGATGTTTACTATTTTAAGGGATCCTGCTTGATACCCATATTACTACAATCTGTAGTTGAACTGGAAATCTCCTGGTTTTTAAACAAGTGTTGTGAAATGCTATGTTAGTAATTAATGCAAAACACGATTGTTTCTGACATCATAAAGATTTCCAGGCAGTACAGGGAAATCGTGCTTGTGGTATTACCATAAAGCCTAACTGGCTTGGCTGATATTCTTTCACTTCCTCATCTGCTTTACTTCTCTGACATAATCACTTTTTTTGGGCATAGTTTTTAGTAATTAGAACAGCTATTTCCAATGTCATAACTAGGGCACTGAAGCCCAATACAACTGATTTGAGACATGGGGATTTTCCACATCTGACTCTCTTGGAAACTCCCAGCCAAGAATCAGGTCTTAGAAACACTAGAGTGCTAGGGGCACAAAAGTGACTACGGTCCTCAGAGAGACTTCCCAGGGCCCCCAAAATCTAGAGATCAAAATAGAGATAGTGCAAAAGATCCTGACCATAGTAATACTTAGGAATCTTGTTCCAGATTAGTATACAGTTCTCTAAAGTCAACAGTTTTGTAAGTAGTTCTTCATTGACGGTTTTTTCAATTCATCTGCAGAATTTCTGATCTTTGACTGAGATTTTACTGAATACAGTTGGATAGTTCTAATTCAGTGGTTTTCACACTGTGATTTCCAAAGGCAGTATATTAGCATGATCTGGGAATTTGTTAGGAATGCAGAATCTGCCGCCTCACCCCAGACCAGTTGAATCAGAGACTCTAGGGATAGGTCCCAGCAGTCCGTGTTTTAGCAGATCCTCCAGATGATTCTGACACATGCCGAAGGTGGGAAACCACTGTTTAA